GGGGGGGGGGGGGGGGGCTGACAGAGACGAGAGTCTGCGTGAGATGTAAAGAAAACGTCACCCTTCGACCAAAGAAGACCAAACAGGAGTACGTAATTGCAGATGGCACACTCCCGTTTTCCGTCTGCTCGTAGCGCACTCCTTGGGACTCCCATGTTGTGCCCCACAAAGCTAGAACACTGAGGAGGATCGGGTGTATCCATACAGGAGAGTGCAAGAAACGAAGGTCCATGGTTGGAAATTCGGTCGTAGCTCCTGCTTTGTCACGTGTTGTCTGCGGTGCCACAATGCTAGAGAACGCCCACATTTGATCACTGCACGTTGTTCCAAGTAAAGGAGTTGGTCGACAATATCGATCATGTTGCGCATCCTCTCTCCCCTCCCGTTTCCCGCCCTTCCCCGAAGCCAACACAAGCTATCTTGTACACCGTTCGTTCTGATCGTGCTTTGTCCGTAAAATACGTGCGTACGCAGACGAGCAAGCCCGTCCGGAGTACAAGGGGGAGTTCATCCCGTCCCCCATCGACGGCAAAACCATACTGTGAGCGAAAGAGGGAGGTAGACATGCACGCTGAATGTAGGCGGCTCTTATCACATCGCGCCTTGGGCGTGACGAGCGGAAATCCGTGTGTCGAGTCCGCCGCCGGAGGACAAGTAGCATGACCGTTGCCGCCTCAAGAGTCCGATATTGCAGTGATACCTCGTGTCCCAGCACCCTTATTTTGCCACGAACGAGGGCCTAGAAGACCGCCGGGAAAGCTAGCCGAAATACATAAAAGCCCCACGCTAGCACCTTAGGCAACACCTCATAAACAACGAACGATAATGAACGCTCTTCATTCCAACAAGTTCATGAAACCTCCCATCCCTCCCTCGCCCACGTTCGGACTGGACGACTCCGACTGACTGTTGTTGCCGAAACACCGCGGTACGATTTACAGGTACTACCCTACGCACAAGAAGGCCTGGAAGTCCCGGCGGGCGACAGCCGTGATCGTGTCAATGGTCACCATCGTCGTGGGATGCATCGCGGCCGTCTACGCCTTCAGGCAAGGAGTGGGGGAGAAAGAGACAAGAAATACTGCGAAGAAATAGCGTTGTACAAGCATAGAACAGTGCAAAGCTTCAAGGATAAGGGAAAAAATGAGACGTGTGGTTTACGCATTGACAATTAAATTGTGTCTCATAAATGATCTGGTTTGTGCTACAGATGTTTTGCGGTCTTAACTGCTTCCACTTGCACACGTTGGTACTTCATACTGCTGCTCTTTCCTCACGTGTTGGAGGTAAACGCTGTTGTGACGGCACACGACACGGCCAAGAGGGAAGGAAACCCTCATCCACCCGTAAGCTCGGGTCCGTGGGATCGGGCCACTCTAGTTTTCTTTTTCAACTGCCACCACAAACTGAATAAATGTTATGGGATTTGAATGTGTAGTAAAGTACCAACGGTATAGGTAGTGTTGGCTTGTACATGTCATGCTTAATGATGGTCTCTCTTCGCAGGTGGTACCTGGTTTACGGGACCTCTGGTGACTGGGGCGAACAGTGGGGCGGCATAGTGACATCGGTGATCAACTCTATCCAGATTCAAGTCTTGAACGCTGTCTATAAGAAGGTTGCTGTTGCTCTGACTGGTGAGGAAGCGAAACGGGATGCACGGTTGTCACTCTCATTTGGTTATGCGCTCACAGGGACGATCCTTATTTCCGTGGAGATTTCTCGGCTGGGTCTGTTTGGCTAAGAAGTGCGAACTATATCATGCATATAATCGTGTCAGTCATGCACACGAAGTAAGTAGTAAAACCACCGGGTGGGAGGTTGAAGGTGGTACCCTACTACACGCACATTCGTTTCTGGTGGTGTTGTACTTGTGTACCAGGGGGTTGCACCCCCGTCATCTACCGATTGGAGTATTATGTTCGCCCTTGTTGCCTCTCGAACTCGCTCGTACTCCCTTCAGAAAAGGATTGCTACTGCTTTGTTGGTACTGTGCTGCCGCCGCTCTCTCTTGTTCTTGTTGTTCCTTCTATGGTCTGCCGCTCTGTGCTCTTGTGCTTGTCTACTCCTCTTTCTCTTTCGCCGAATTCTGCACATGCCATTAGTCGCAAGCATCACGAGACAGCCACAACGAATGGCTGACGATCCCACCAACCAATCAGCTAAGCGCGACATGCGCAAAGAAACGACGATTGACCGCGGACAATATTAATAACAGACTTCGAGAATCATCGCACTTCTACCGAGTACGAGGACTCACTGGTGTCCAAGCTCTTCTGCTTCACTTTCTGCAACTCGTACGGCGGCTTCATATACCTGGCGTTCATCGGGGAGCCGGTAAGATGCGCCACCTCCTCCCCCCCACCTACCCGCCGCATCTTGCGGTACCTCAGTCACCATGATACCGGTTTGGTTTACGACGGCCAATACTTGGTTGTCTTGATCTTGTCGTTTGGACGACCTTCTCAAAGCGATGTCACACCATCCTGTTGAATGGACACACCTCTCGATCCTCCACAAAATAAACAAGCTGCACCCAGGGAGGACATCCTCTGTTGAAGCTCAGTCAGAGAGCAACGCAAGGAGAGCTGCATAGTGACTCACGGAGAAAACACCAAAGAAAAAATACATTATTCTAGTCGTTTGTAGGTTATGGCCAGACCACTCCCCTCCTCGCTGTGGATGATGAAAAAAAAGTGGAATTTTCGCGCTCTCTTGCACTCCATCTTGGTCTCTTGCTGCTTTGTGCCTTCCAGGTGATCGGTGTCGCCTGCGAGAAGAGCTGCATGAGCCTGCTCGCGACCAACCTTACCATTGTCTTCGTCGTACAGCTGGTGGTAAGGAGACCACCGCAATGAATGAATGTTTTCCCAACTTCAAAGTATGCAATCCGCCGTCTTTAAGTTACCGAGGGAGAGCGAGAGAGACAGACACACAGACAGGCAGACAGATAGACAGACACACAAACAAAGGTAATTTCTTCATTTTTCCTATTCAGCGGCGGTAGTACGAGACAACGTTTGAACTCGTGAGAATCAGCGCTCGTGCTGGGCGTTGGTCCCATCCAACAAGAGTTCCGTCTGCCGAATTTCATGGGCTCATGTTGCCCATAACATGTGAGAACAATCTCGTCACGACAGACTTTGCATACGTTGTAGTGATGTTGGTTTCGTCGGAGGCAACCGACCCCCCGGCATGAACGATCTGCGCTTCGTTGCCTACACCACCTACCTGCTGCTACTGTTTGCTTTGTGCGTGTCGCTTCCTCCACTACTAATATCATAGTACCATTTTTGATGCTGCACACACCACATACGTCCATTCTCTGCTGGACTGTTCGCCAGGTGGGCAACCTGACGGAAGTGCTCATCCCGTTCATCAAGTACACGATGAGGGTCAAGACTGAGAAGCGAGGCGACGGGTACGGTCACGATGGTGTCCCTGTAGTCAGCGGCAAGAACATCCAGCGCACGCAGGCCGAGAAGGGGCTCTACCTCGAGCAGTACGACCGTGAGTGTTGCTGCGTCGCTGCCCTGCTGCTTTCTTTCTCTCCGTCGTGGATATTGTCTTGTTCTAGCAGCGAAACCACAAAGTATTTTCAACATCAAGTAGATCAGGGTTAGGCTATACCCGCAAGAGAGACAGGCAGCCCTCCAAAGTTGTTGTTGTTGTTGTTGTCTTCACATTAAAAACCGTTCCGGTCTCTCTCTACCCAGTACCTTCATACGTCTGTACTGATCCAACATTTGACGCGGTCGATTCCCGTGGTCACAGGTTAACTTACCCTTAAAAGGTACACTCAAATAAACTGGCCCCGAGGGGTCCGCAAGTCAATAGGAATCAACGACATTCTGGACTCCTCCACTCCCTCTGCGCACAATGCGAGTGATTGACGACGAATCGTCCTGTTGGGTGTGCGCGTATTGAAGAACGGATTATTTGTGTAAGGCATGGACACTGGGCGATGTTTAAGTTTCGAGCGCGAAGCGACAAGGATAGTCTTTCGTTCGTCCAAACAACGTTGTCCAGCTGAATGGTGCCCGACGTCTTCAGAGTGGAGGAGCGGAGTGACCCAAAGTAGGGAGTGCGATAAGCGGAATGTCCGCTTAATCCAACAATCTTCCGCGGTACAGAATATCAACATCATTCAACAAAGACGACACAACATGGTCATACGTCGCCGTCGGTCTGCCCCGCAGCGATCATGGGTGCCCTGATGGACTACGCCGAGCTGGCCGTGCAGTTCGGCTACATTACCCTGTTCGTCGTGGCCTTCCCGCTGGCCCCCCTCCTCGCCCTGGCGAACAATTACGTGGAGGCGCGCTCGGACGCCTTCAAGCTGCTCACTCAGATGCAGCGCCCGGTGCCGCGCGGCGCCGAGGACATCGGGAGCTGGCAAGGCGTTTTCACGACCATCTCTTGTATCGCAGTCGTGACCAACTCCGCTCTGGTGAGACAAGGACTTGTCGCCTTGCTTCCTTGTTCTCGACCCAAACGGAACGGAACAGGAGGAAGGGTGGAGAAATAAATATGTTTCTCGATCGATTCTTGTCGCCGACTGAACGCAGTTTCGCCCACGCCCCCCCCCCCC